CCAGGCGGAGGAAGCCTGGGAACGTGGGGTTCGGCAGGGCACCAGAAGCGCCCCCCTACTCGCAGGGAATCCCATCTAGGGGCTCCGGAGCGAAGTGGGGTGAGAAGCGCGGTGCTACGAACTGACTGCTACTTTCACGGAGTGAAGCCGCACAGCCATTGCCAGAGAGCGCTGACTTTTTCCTGTGGACAATTGGACTTAAAACAAGTACCTGTGAGTAGAAATGGAAAATTGGATCAAGAAATTGTTTAATTTGGTATCGAAGCGGGAAGGTGCAAACAGGAAGTCCGCCTTCCGCTTTTTTGTATATAGACTAAAGCAAAAATTTTGCAAGCTAAAGCCGGGAAGCTGTCAAAAAAGACTAAATTTCCTTCATTCAGAATTACTGAAACCCCCCTTGGAAGCAGGAGAAAAGGGGGGGGGACTCTGTTTAACCCTAGCAGGAGAGGGAGTGAAGAAGGATAAGTTTCCACCGTCTCTAACCTGGGAACGGGGTGTCAGAGACAGAAACTGTTGGAGAGGTTCATTGACTGTGAACGTAATACTTTGACAGATAGCTAATGAAGAGAAACAAGTTGATTCTAATGTTGCCTTTTGCATTTTAAAGAAACAAAATATCTGAAAAACATCTGAAATATCTGAAAAATGAAAGTAACTTTCCTTTGTCTTTTTTTAAAAAAAATGGATACGAATAGTTTGTCTCCTCTAGAGGGAGCTTGCTAAATTGTTGCTGTAGTATACTTGAGACCCAACATCTGTGAGATTAAGACCGTGGGAACAGTCTTTTCTGACCTTGAACAAAGATAAGCTGGGAGGAAGATTGGGTGCTTGCTTTATGTAAGACAAATGCTTTGCTGGAACAGATGCATGAGAAGATGGACTTGATGAATGAGAAAATGGATTTGACTGTTGTGGTTAATAACTGTGGACAAACAGGGAACATTGATATAGAAATCATTCAGGAACCAACCTATGAATCTGTACTGACTGGGCAAGTGCAGATAACAATGGAGGAGGATGCGGCTGCACCTCAAATAGTACAAATGGAGAGACCCGAGGCCCTACAGGAGCATAAGCCGCTGTTATTGAAGATTGAAGTTGGAGTGGGCCAAGGGGAGTCTGGAGATGAGGAGGTTCCTAGCTTTGGAGAGATCTTGAAATTTGAGTTTAAATACATTTTGGATTATATCGAGGACTGTGGGGAGTGGGACTGTGGGGAATGGGCGAGCTGGATGAAGGGTGATGGAGACAATTTTGGGTTGGAATCCCCCAGAGACCTACTCCTCAATGAGAAAGGAAAGAAACTAAGACAGAGACCAACAAAAGACAAGGAAAAGGGCAAGCACAAACAAGATGAAGAAGAATTGCAGAAGGGACATGGAAGAGACTTAAGGGCCTCGGACATAAGGCTTCCAGGTTGATGGACTAGATGGAATGGACAGTAAGGACTGACACGACCCGAGACCAGGAAGAAGAGACGCTGGATGATGATTGAAAGAGAATTTATAATGGAAATTTTTTATTTTAGAATCAGCTTAATGGATATTAGGGGAAATGTGGGAATGAAACTATACGACTCTAGCAGAAATGTTACTAGGAGCTATGTATATTTGAAAACTAAGATTTAAGTCTTAAGGTACTTAGGGGTAAGATAAGGTTAAATAAATTAAGATAATTTGAATAACAGAATATGGGGAAAGATGGAAAGGATTTGTTGAGTTAATTATTAGGTTAAATTGTTAAGATAAATTTTATAACCTACTTCCAGGGTGGCGCCATCGGTAATGGCTGCTTTCCTCTGATTTGGAGGGAACCGGCTCTACGGAAATTGGGTCTGTACCGCTATGGCGCAGCGGGGACCCTCCAAAAATCACAGGCGGGTGAAGCCTGTGACCGTGGGACTCAGCGGGCACCGTTTGCGCCCCCCCAATTGCAAAAGGAGCTCGGCAACGGGCTCCGGAGCGGAGCGGGGGTGGCGTGGTGCTGTGAGCCAAGTGCTTCTTCCATGGAGCGAAGCCGCGAAGCTGTTACCGGAGAGCGCAGCCTTTTTCCTGGGACAATTGGACTTTGAAAACAACTACCCGTGAGTAGGATTAAATTGGATTCAAAAGGGAAAAAACGTCTAATTTGGTACTGAGCGGGAAGGTACAACCAGGAAGTCTGCCTTCCTTTCATTGTAAATAGATCAAAGCAAAGAGACTCTAAAGCGGAAACTCAGAAAGTTGCTTGAAAAAGAGCTAAATCTTAACATCTAGAAAGTGACCCCCCCTCCGGATTGCAGGAGAGGAGGGGGAAAAGACTGAGCTGAATCTACCTGCAAAAAATAAGAGGGAAAAGGAAGCTAAAATTTATTGTTTAAAACCTGGAACGGGCTGCCTTGAGACAAGGGTTGCAGAGTTTCGAGAAACTAAAAAACAGAGAGATTGGCTTCATTACTATCAGATAATGGAGGCATATAATTTGGATAAGAACATTGGCTTCCAGGTGGAAAAGTCAAAATTAGAAACAGAACTGTTAGAACCCAAAACTAAGAATCTGGCAAGAATGTATAACTTGCTGTTGAAATGGAATACTCAGGATGAAACGGTGAAATCTGCTATGATTAAATGGGCACAAGATGTTGGACATAACATAATGATGGCTGACTGGGAACAGTTATGGACCACAGGTATGAAGTTTACAGCATGTAATGCCTTAAGAGAGAATATTATGAAAATGATATACAGGTGGTACATGACCCCAGTCAAGCTTGCAAAAATCTATCATTTGCCCGATAATAAATGCTGGAAATGTAAAGAAACTGAAGGTACATTCTTTCACCTTTGGTGGACGTGCCCAAGGATTAAGGCTTTCTGGGAAATGATATATAATGAATTGAAAAAGGTATTTAAATATACCTTCCTGAAGAAACCAGAGGCCTTTCTTTTGGGCATTGTCAGCCAATTGGTGCCAAAGAAGGACAGAACTTTTTTTATGTATGCTACAACAGCAGCAAGAATACTCATTGCAAAGGATTGGAAGACACAAGATTTACCCACTCTGGAAGAATGGCAGATGAAGGTGATTGACTACATGGAATTGGCAGAAATGACTGGCAGAATCCGAGACCAGGGAGAAGAGTCGGTGAGAGAAGACTGGAAGAAATTTAAAGACTATTTACAGAAGTATTGTAAAATTAATGAATCTTAGAAGGATGTTGGATAGAAACTAAGTGGTTTCCAGCTGTAATGCTTTAAGAGATATGAAAAAAGGTTTATAAATGGGTAAAAGCTTAATGGTAAGGATTTGCTGAACTAACAAACTGAACTGGAATACAAAAAAGGGAGGTATGAGGAGGTCCGGGGAAATAAGTGTAAGGAAGATATGCTATGGAAAATTAATGTGTTTTTAACTGTTTTTATTTTGCTTGTTCCTTTTTATTTTTCATTGCTTTGTTATATTTTAATAAGGGTTTTTTTTTTATTCTTCTTGCTGTATTTTGTATTTTTTTTGTATTTTCATTTTTTGTTTTTGTGTAATTCTTGTATCTTTTTGAAATTTTAATAAATATTTTTTTAAAAAGATAAATTTTATAACAAAAATTGAGAAAGATGGAAAGAATTTGCTGAAATAATTATTAAACTAGAATACAAAAGGGAGGTGTGAGGAGGTCAATGAAACAAGCAAATGGAAATTATGGATATGCAATTTGGGATTTGTGTTTTTTCTTCTTTTTTCTTCTTTTTTACTTTCTTTTACTGTATTGTCGTATTGGTTTTTATATTTTGTGCTTTTCTCTTTGTTATTTTTTTTCTTTTTTTTGTATTGTAGTGTTGTTGTTTTTTATTTTTTATTGTAATCCTGAAATTATCAATAAATATTATTTTTTTTAAAAAGAGAAGAAACAATGACCCACAAATGACAACCAAATGCAAATTTGCTACTAGTGAAAGAGGAAGACTGATCCATTCACTGTGGAGTCCTATACACAAATAATCAAAAGCAAGCCCCCTTGAATTCAACGGGACTTACAGGGAAGCCTTAGGTAGAAAAACTTACATAAGATTATATGTGGTTCCTATAGCCTTAATAGGATACGTTCTTAACTCCACATGACAATGATATTAAGGAAGGGTTTGGGGCAGATTTAATTTATTTAAAGACAAGAAGAAGCTGATACTGAACACAACTTCATCAGATTTACTCAACAGACTTTGGTGGAGTTTCTTCTGATTTTAAACAAAGACAATGATTTCAGAAACAAGCCATAGTGTTCTGCTACACTGAGTGGAAGGAAAAAATATTATACTAATAAGTCTTGACATTAATGTACTGTGTTGAATTCTGGTCACACCATTTCTGAGAGGAAGAGGCAAATTGGAGAAAGTTCAGGCAAGGGTAACAAAAATAACTGGAGGCATGGAAAGTCTTCCACATGAGAAAAGCTCTAAAAGGTTAAGACAATTTTGTGAGGAGGTGAATAAGAAGTGGCATGGTATAAGCTTAAAACAATGCAAGGCATAGAGAAGGTCAGTTCTAGTTATCTTCCTCGTTTTAACAGTAGGATAACCACTGAGAGCCGAAGACAATAGCCATGTTCTGGAGCCCCTTTATGCATGTGATTAACATTACATGGAAAAGGAAGTGCAGACAAGTACTCACCCTGCTGACTCCACTGCAATCCCCTAGCCATGAACTAGAGGGCAATCATCAACAGCAGAGTCTGCTGAATCTGTATAGGCTCCTTGCACATTCTAGAGCCCTGATTTTTTAGGGTAATACTATAGTGACAATACTAAAACATACACCTGCTTTCCACTCAAGGTATAGCCTAGCAACTCAGACCTAGTAACAAGCAAACCCATGCTTTATTGTTTAACCATTGGGAGGAGAATAATGCCAGGCTGTAAAAATAGTAACAAATGTTTGGCCCATTTAGATATGAGAGAGATATGGACTCCAAAGGTACATGTATAAGGGCTTCTCAAATTGTTCTGTGGCTACGCCCAGGGCCTCTTCCTTTGAAGCACCCACCCAGCCCTCTTCACTTGGCTTAGAACAGAACTCAGTCACACACAGGACAATTTGTGAGGAGGGGAATCATTACCCAGGTCTTTGACAACTGAAACACACACACACACACACACACACACACACACAAACAATATAATTTGTTTTAACTGATTTTTATATTGTAGTCTTGCATTGTTGGAATTACTTATAATGCAACATTTATTAAAAAATAAAATATCATTTTCAAAAACAGACCCCCCCAAAAAGCAAAAAGCAAAATAAAAACAGACTAACAAAGTTTAACAAGAAACTAATGACCTTCTCTCAAATTAAGCAAAATGATTCCATCCTCTCAACTGAACAAGTGAAGAAGGGGTGAAGTGAAGAAGAATTCAACACCAGACAAGCATTCCTGCACTTAAGTATTTACAAGGAAACCTATTTACATATAGTCCCAGAGCTGCTCAAACCTTATTTCAGTGATACCATTGGCAGAGCACAGCAAGGATACCTGCCAGACATTAACATTCACATTGGCAGCTGCAAGATCACCATCAGAAGTACAGAGATGATAAAACACTGACGAAAATTTGGGACAGGAAGCATTTGCTATCGTGTGGAAGAAACATAACATTTTAGACATGTTTGACAAAAATGATATTGTATTCCTATATTGTTGTAAGCTGCCCTTGGACCTTATGCTGAAAGAGAGGTGAGAAATTTAACATACAAATAAATAAATGGTGGAAGTGCTGTGTTTATTTCAATTTAAGTGAATAAGTATGACAACAGGATAACTATAACAAAATAATGTAACATTGAATGCTCATGTTGAGTTTTAGCACATATCGTGGGAGGAGCAACAGATTAAAGTGGAATATGTGAGGCTGCTGCTTATGTGAGGCTATCCCCCATCTGAGAGCAAGAAGCCCATACAGGATTAGGCAGTGTATCACACTGGAAAACCTGTTATTTGGCTCCCACAACTACTTTTATAGATGTCACTACAACTTATAGACAGAGGTTTACTGAGAAAAACAAGCATTTTGCAGAATCATGCCTTCAGTCACAATGCAAAAAATAAAAAAGAAACAGTTCTGTATGATTTTTAGCAGCCTACAAACTTCCATGTATCATTGAGGAGAAAATGCAAAATGAATTGTGTCACCACCTTGAACTACTCTCCAAGGATTAAGTTCTATTAAGTGTTTGGTGTGTTTCCCTGGGGCTATGGCTGTCCTGCAGAGAATATCATATTAGAGGAGAAAATAACACGCTTCACCACAACCTCAAAGACTGAGGGCATGCTTAAAAACTTTGTATTTTCCTCTCTTTCCAAGGTTTTCGACTGTAAGAGCTACTGCTTCATTTTACAACTTGCAGGCAGTTAGCTTCAGCTCTCAACCCACTTTTAGTGATAAGCTCTTCTCTCTCTGACAACAAATCTACTGCCTACGTGACTTAGTTTAAACTAACTTGAGATTTCTCCTGAATGATTTATCATCCTCTAATAGAAGGCAACTCCAGCCTTATCAGTGTAGCTTCAAAACCCACAGTTCAATTCAAATAGTTTGTATCTGGCTCTTACTTTGAGCTAACTGAGCCAAATGCGATTATATAGCTGTTGATATGGATTTTTTTTAATTAAAAAAGAGTTTTTTATAGCAACTTGAGAATAAACAGTAAACCTACATCTACAATATCCAAATACCAAGGGGAAAAGAAAAATAATCCCACAGAAAAAATTATACTGCTTTAGAATCCCAGTTCATAAGCATAAGCAATAATGTGAAAAATTGCTTAATCACCCCTTAAAATAAATCAGGTTAGTCTGTCTGCATGTTTTTAAGCAGGGTGTATATGTATGTGGAATTGGAGGGGGTGCCTTTCTCAAAATTATGTCTCTGTTTTATGGTTCATATACTTTTCTCATAGATTTATTTTCTTTTGAAATCTCTCTCTGTGTGTGTTTCCCCCACCCTTTCCTAGCATCTGGAAAGGTGACCAGCAGCAACCCACCCCCAAAGGTAGGAAGCACCCCAAGCAGCACCCTTCCCAGAAATCGGGAGAATGGCTGGTTGCACAAAGTTGGTTAGAAACATTTGGGACTCCTCAGACCAGCATTGGGTGGGGGTTCGGTTGGACATTTGAGATTCTAGTGGTGAGGGTTATGGACTGGTTTGGATTCAGCACAACCAGCATGACAAGGCAGAGAATGACAAGGTTCAGTTTCCAGAGAGGCAAGCCAAGCCAAGCCAAATCCCGGTTTGATGTGAGTCAGTCAAAGCAAAGACGCAGCAAGCAATGCAGAGGACAGGCTGAAGCATCAGGCAGCAGGACTGAATGTGGTTTCAACACCAAACCTAGATTGAGCCTCAGATAAAGCTGTAACTCCATCTGATTAGCCAGCTCCTCACAATGAGCAAAGCTTCTTTGGTTAATGAGACACTGACTGCCTTAACAGTCATTGAATTTGACCCCAATGGCACAGAATCTAGTGCAGTTTAGTTGGGCCACACAACAGCAAGATCAGAGAATGGCAATTTTATCTCTCAGGCTGGAGGAGTGTGGATGCTGGAGATTCCTTGACAATCGGTCCAGTTCTGAGAGCTACTGTCCTCACCCACTGATGTTTCTTTCAAGTTGCACTACTGGAATGGTCTGCACCTTATGCCCAACTTGATGTCCTGCTGTAGTCCCAAGTACTTCCACTTGCTCAAGTTGCTGTGCAGCAAGCTTCTGCTAATGCAACTGCATTTCATATTGTACAACCTTTACTTCCATCCTTATGCTAGTGCAACAGCCCTTGTGCTGGTGGTCAGAGAGCACTGAATCCCGGCCAATATCTGCAGACTCAATTTCTGTACTGTCTGAATGCTGAATTAATTTTTTATAAACAGGCATCTAATAATCAATGCAAAGAGTTGATAATCTTTCTTGGCAATGATTTACAGCACTTAATTATCCTTGCTTGTAGAAAGTGACACATTTTCATTATTGTCACTTTTGATAGGAGCCACCCAAAGCCCACTGAAATCAATACGGCACTGGCGTTTTCGCTTGATTAAATTAATATAATATAACCCGCAGTTCATATTCCAGTCCCTTACCCAAAATTGAATGCATTTGAATACTTAATGATACTGAAAGATGAATGAACAAGAGATCACTCTCTTTTCTTTCATGTTACCACAAGTATGCTGAAAACATTGTATTTAAGAACACTCCCATTTAAAGCCATGTGCTATGTATGTTTACTCAGAAGCTGCATTCTGTTCAATTGAAAGAAATGTGCATAAGGCAACTGCTTTAGAACGCTACAGAATAAAATACATTGGGAGCTCTTTGTGCTGCTTTTAAGACCATTACCCTGGTTGGATGGTATACTTTGAAACACTTTTGGCTAAAATATACATACTATTGATCTTCTGTGAAGGACAGTGCAGTGGATTCAGTATAAATCTTTCTCAACAGCTAATAATACCAACTTGGCTAATTGTTAAGACTGGTGATTTCAATATAATTGAATGGAAAGAATGTAGTTAAGCATTTAAGACTTCAATAACCTTCCTGAAAAAAATCAATACCACTTTTAAACTAGCCTCCCGGGCCTGAGGTTTTACAAGCATGTCGATAGCACTGAAAGCATTGCGCTGTCCAGCTCTGCATATTTGTCCCTTCCACAAAGATCATTTACAGCATGAAAAAAGAAAAGTTGTTAGGGTATCTTTGGAAAACTCTCCAAACCAAGTCAAAATCAATATCTCTCTGGGGAGCAGACTGCTAGATATGATAACTTCTAGTTTGCATATGTGTGACTGTCAGCACATGACTGATTGCCTGGGTGTCTGATGGTAAAGATCAATAGTATCTTTTTAAAGTCCTGGAGACACAAAAGATGTTGAATCCAAATAGTTTATTGGATTCTTTTATCCCTGCGTCTGATAGAAACCTGTGGAGTCACTGGTGCACATGTTTTGTAAGTTAAACATTTAGGACCTTTTCACTGCTGTGCCGTATTCCAGTTCCCAAGCAATGGTAGAGTTGTGCACTCCCAAAGTCTGCTTAAACCACTAGACATGGGACTGGGACTACGAGTTCCAGAATCCCTGGCAGAAAAAATCTGCTATTCACAAAATTTCATCTGGGGAGAAGGCCCTCTTATGAGAGGAAGTGATAAGAAAGGGGGTGAAACTGTGCCCTTTTCCCCAGCAGAAAAGTAAATAGTGTTTTACTGCTGGAGATTCCTGGTGGTAAAACATGATCCACCAGATCTCTGGAAATGCCCGTCACAGCTTCCGCTGCCATTTCCGCCTTCACTGGACCCAAAGGTAAGTTCTTAGCCTTTATAGCCAGGTCAACACAGGCCTACTCACCTCAATCTTTCTGGAAATCAGTCAAACAAGGGTGAACATCCCTGCTAAGGATTTTGGCAACTATGTACAGCATCAGATAGGTACACACAGATGTACATGCACTTTGTGTTTCATGCACAGAAGTAAAATAAGATGAATGCACAGCTGTTGCTGAAAGCAACAAGCACACATTGCCTCCTCTCACTCCTAGAAACATCTGACAAAAGAAAACACACGGTGTGATGTCAAGTTATCTACCATGAGCCTGTATAATTCCACCACCACATTTTGTGATCAAGAATAACTTTAGTTATTTATACTCTGTGTGAAGAAAATTCCAAGATTCAGCTTCATTGGATGGGAAGGAGAAAAAAATCTCTCTATCCACTTTATCCATACTGTGCATAGTTCTATACATCTCTCGCTCACTTTTTCTAACTAAAAAGTCCTAAAAGTTATAAGCTTTCCTCATATCGGAGTCACTCTGGTCATTTTGATTGTCCCTTTCCATCTGTACATTTTGAGACGAGGGAGCAAGAATGGTAGACAATATTCCAAGTGCCATTGCAACACAGAGTTGTATAACATCATTAGGGTAATGGTAGTTTTATTTTCAATTCCTTCCCTAATAAGTCATTGGATTGGATTTGCCTTTTCACAGCTGTCACACACTGGCTTTATGTTTTCACTGAGTTATTCTGAAGACCCTACACTGCCTATGTGCATTGAAGACCACCCCTCACCATACTCAATGTGCAGCTACACTGACCAAAACCTGCCATTTTATTGCCATTCACCCAATTTGGAGAGATACTTTTGGAGCTCTTAACAATCTTTTCTTACTTTTATTCTAATCGCCTTGGATTCTGTAGCATGATTTGTGAACTTGGC